ATGTAAAGTAGAAATCATATGAAAAACTCATGAAGCGTTTTGAGGCAGAAGATTACGTGTCATGGTACGTACAGATATTGATATAAAACACCAAAGTTGACATTCCAGGTTCGTGCCATTTTAATAACACTGCTTGCGTCCCTTCTGCCCCGCAAGCTCATTGTGTCATGAGTAGCGTCGCTCTCCGAAGTGTGAGATAGGCTATCATTGCACCCGTTACAAATTTTCGTTTTTTTCTTTACTTTTAAATCTTCATGCATGAATCACTTGTTCTGGCGGTATAATATGATGTGTATTTTTCATTCGAAACAAATTTTTTCTAGTATATGGGAAATTTTTAAATTTAGAACAATTACTGTATTACTGAAACGTCTGTTTTGTAGAAAATGGTGAAAGACAGCAAGAAGAAGACAAGTGCGAATGCTATTATGACGAGCAATCGGGCAAGGGTCAAGCTGCGAGTAAGTTTTGCCTTAGTCTGCAGTTATTTCTGCTGATGCCACGTACATTCAGCTGTGTATATTGTTAGGAAGGCATCTTTTGGCAATTTATATTGCTGTCTGTTACAAGTCGTTAGACTACAAACAGCAATCACGTAGAACGTAACAGCGTCTGTACGTTTCGACTTGTATTCTATGGTTCTTCGTCATGATGAGTGGTGTAGAGCGAATGACATGATGAAAGAAACTAATTTGTTTTTGTTGGATTAATAAGAATCTTCCCCACAGTGGTTTCCCCAGGGTTGTAAGGAAAAACAGTAATCGTCCTTTACGTTTCTAACTGACGTCAGGTCACGCCCAGATTTTGAATAACTGCTGAGGTCGTTCCAACTGGATCACTAGAGTTGAAAAGGGACTTTTTAACATGTTAACAGGTTAAAAACATGTTAACACGTTACCGTTCCGTCTACTGAGAAATTAGGCAAACGGTTGGCTGGCTGAGATCTTGCCATGAGATCAAAGGCGATAAAGGTAGCCGGAACCAGCTACCTGTGGTTTTGATGGAAGGCACGGATAAAGAAATAAAGACAGTTGCATAAGATGATTCATATTATCTTCTTGGAATAGGTAGGTTATTATCAAAGTTATTATGCTCTTTCCCTTGTTGTTTTTAAGTTTGTGTATTGTGTCTGGTCTTGCGTTTTCAGAAGTACTGGTTTAATGTTTTCCTAGGATTCTTAGGTTCATGAAATGAATCCGATCTCTTAACTAGTGGACTCAGGGAATGACTTCTCGTGATACCGGATCCTTTCATTTATGTAGAGTCTAGAGCTTCGTCGAACAGACCAAACACTAGAACTTGTTGATGGTGCTTCTGGATAGCGATAATCTTAGTTGTACTTCAGTGAGAAAGCTGTTACCTTAAGGAGTAAAACGGCATCTTGTTTTATGCAATCTGTTTGTTTAAAACTGTGTAACAACTATGAATCACTCAGCAGTTAGGCTATGTAGGTTAGCCGAAGTCAAGAGCTTTAATAAACCAGAATCCAAATGAGTAGTTGGAATTTATACATTTTATCTGCTGAGTAAAATCCTGCTATATAAATTTATATGTTTTCATAAAATCAAAGGTGTCACAGAAACTTCGAGTCCAGTTTTGCCTTTGCATGGCATTAGTTGTGACTGGCGCACGGCAGGGATGGCCGATATAAGATAATCATAATTTCCCAATTTTTTCTATAGCGCCTTCTACTCACACTGTTTCGATATCTTTGAAAGAACGGAGACGATCTTATCTCGGTTTTAATTCTGAAAGTTCAGAGCAGCTGCATGCCACTGTTTTAATGCCTGGCTACCCCTGCTCTTACTTCATCCGCGTTGAGCTGCGTCCATTTTATGATGTATTTTTATGTCGTTTCCGATGTCAGCGTAATCTCAGTGTACTGATAGTAACGCGCGTTCTGAGTAGACTAATAAACCATGATTGATCGGTGTAAAATGTATTCCCAGCCGAAGTGTCAAATTCAGCAATGATTTCTTCACAATGGTGTGTTGACACACTTGTCTACGAGGTTTGCTTCAAACTTTCGAGCTATAAGGGGGTGTTCGATTCCTCTCGAGGACAATCTTTATCCTGTCCACGAATTTCCTTGAGCAAATAATTTACCACATTATTTCAGACCAGGGCTGCCCAGTCGGTAGAGTGGCGAACTCAGAACCGATATATCCTGGGTTCGAGCACCGGTCGAGGCCACTCGCCCTTCTTACTACTGGGGATGGTTAACGAGTAACACTCTATGTGAAGGAAACAGGAGGCAACAGATTACGCAGTTTGTTATCAACCACACGGCTGTAGACTCTGCCTTAAAAATATAAGACGGTCCAGACTAATGGTATAAATAATTGAAATCAGCACCGCACTATCAACATCATGAACTGAAAGGCACAAAAATTGCCCAATCATTAAAGTAAAGAAGACCGACTTTCCAACTTGACCAAGTTTCTTTCTTCCTCCACAGTTATTTTGCAAATAATTAACACCGCATGAAGTTACGTTATCAAAAGGCAGAAACAAACATCCACAGGAAAACCTGAAGGATCCCAAATTGTTTCGCGCTGTTCTTAAGCAGGATTAAGGTTCAGTTGTGATCAAGCCGATTTTCAGGCATATGGGGCAACGAATTGGTAGTCTGATCGAACACAACTAACAGTTTTTTCTGCCGTACAATAACAGTCTTCTTCAGGGTAAAAAGTTTTTCTCAAAGTATAATCATGTGGTTTAAGACTGAATATGTCGTTCCGTTCGTGCGTTGATGATCATACTATAAACTGAAGGCGTTTAAAACAATATACTCATGCACAACTCAAGCAAATTGGCAAATCCGGTGGTTAAGGAGTATCGATGTTTTCGGCTTGTTTCTCACGGGTGGACAGTTCATTTCTGCAGTTCGTTCTGCAGATGTTGCGACGTTTGGCATTAGCCTTTTGTTCAAGAACTGATCTGCTTATGCAGAATAAATATGAATGTCCGATAAAATAGAAATGTAAGAGTTAATTTTAAAATTTGAAACATTCTCTAGAGATGACGCCATATATCAGCCTTATTATATGCATAATCTCCAGTATTTAATATCATGGTCGATCTGTCTCCAGAGAAACATAATGTGAAGTCTTTAATGTCGCAGCTTAATTCGTGACAGAGAGTAGCTCTGGAGGTCCTAGCCTCGAAAATGGAACCTGTTTCATAATTTCGTTCCTTCCACTGCCAAATTAGTTCAATGATAAAACCGTTATTTATGCACTAGTTCGACAAAATCACCAGAGTTATTTTTACCTTCCGGCTCCATTGCCCTCTATGTGTTTCCTTTATTTGATTCTATAATAACAGCAACAGTAATAATAATTTTGCACAGCCGATGAAATTTTTCGCATTCCTTCGTGTTCATCCTCAGATCTTTCGTTTGCCTTCTCTCGCTTTATGTAGATCAGGATTGCACAACATTATTACCTTACTGAGGTGTTGCATCTTCCTTTCGTATGTGGTGTTGCCAATTTGCCTTATGTAATTGAGACCGCCCCTCACCAAATTGGGTGGTAGATGCAGCCTGCTGGATATGCCGCAAAGGGCCCTCTGGTAGAGAGGGACAGAGGAGTCCGATACTGGCAGTGAGTCATACCATGACTAAAATCTCATCAAGCGCTTCCGTTCTGGTTATCGATGAGCCGGTTGCTGAAGGATATGGAGGATGAGGATTATAATTCACGACGATGGAATTCTGAATGAACTGCCTGTAAAACTCGCCAAAATGCGTTATGCAGAGAAGAATACCGGGGCCATAAGTGCAGGATGCCGCGTCGGCTTGTCAAAACTGGAACTAATAACGATCCAGTGATGGTCATTACGCGATCGCTAGAAGAAAGGGATATCATCGAGATCTCCGTGGCCGGCCACCTTCACCGAGGCTAAGAAGATCAAAGCAGATGTTCTTGGGAGTGGGCCAGATCCGAAGGTGCCAACTTTTGCACAAGAGAATAACGGTTTCCAAATGATAAGCGTATGAAATGCGGTCTCGGACAGACAGGGTGGCACTGTAAAGCATGGAATTTTACCGGTAGTAATCAGCTGCAAAATCATGTCACTTGGTATCGCCATACTAGTTCTAAGAGTGTACAAGAAAAGATCACTAAAGATATTTGAAGTTTAGCGGACGACGATGAAGTGGAACAGTTCTGCGAAGAATGCAAGAGACATCCACCTACACAATCGTCTAAGGAGACTTCAGCGCCATGGTAGGAAAGGAAACAACTGACAAAGAGAACGCTTCATCGGTAGGTTAGAAAGTAGAGAGCGAAACGAATGCGGCTCTCCTCCAGCCTCGTAGCTTTTGCTGAAAGTGTCATAATGAATATCATGCTTTAAAAAACCCAGAAGCTGTAACGGAGTTGTTGGAACTCCAGTGGAATGACCCATAATCAAATTGACTACGTGTTTGCGAACACTAAGCTGGTATTTAACAGATGTGTATGTCATTGGAGAGATTACCGTCTGCCCCTCTGCATAGGGTCTTATCGCAGCTTACTCCGCTCCACAGTTAAAATCGATGTAGATTAGGTATGAAGAGCTGAAAGACCACCGGCGATTGAATGAATCTTTGCTCCTGAAGCTTTCAGAGACAAGCTTTCTCACCTAAACCTCGCAATGGAAATCAGCAGAAGCGCCGATGTAAAATATCAGCACATTGGCGATAGCATAAAATCTACCATCCGGTCATCGGCCTCGGCACCAGCGTCGATGAGGAAAGGAAACAATTCAGCGAAGCAGATGTTGGTTCAAGGAGTGCATCGCGTTGTTCCATGGAAATACGGAAGAAGATTCAGGAGAACTATGACAAGGATTGGAGAACGAAACTGAAAGTGACCGCATTACAGAGGAATAGTTGAATGCCGCGGAAAAGCGCATGCTCCTAAGCGATCTGTATGAGCTTTTACGACACGTTCTATTCGAAGGTAAAGGCAAACCGGAAGGTGCCATACGTTACCCTAAAAATCGCTCCCGATGTCAGCACGGAGTAGGTAGAGTGGCAATCAGGAATATTGAGGGTTGCTGAGGTACTGGTACACGAACAGCATAGAACCAACATGGCCCAATTCAGAGGAAAGACCCTGATCAAAGCCTTTGCCAAACAATTTACAAAATACATCAGGCAGCAAATGACGCCAGAAGCATGAAGGAGCTCTTTGAGGATTCTTCTGTTCAAAAAAGGTCACGCTGAAGAATTCCCGCCAGCTCGGAGCGATAGTTCAGGGCCGGATGCAATTTTTTGATGTA